GGATCACAAGTTGCTGTCTTCGATGTTGCCTGTTCCTTCCTCAGACCTGACTACAGAGAGAAGGAAAGAACCTTGAGCCATGGGAAAGACCACAACATCAGAAAGGTACGCCTTCCGGAGAAAGAAGTCTCCTTAATTGATGACTCCTCGCCGTTACATATTGAAAGTCAAATCGTCAATAAAGTGCACCTACCCAAGCCACGCGAGAGTATAAAGTTCACGCCGCTCTCATCCGCCAACGTGTTCTACGAATATTTGAGTCAAGGCACAAATTCGGACTGCAACGAATTCAGAGAGAGGACAGTGAAAAATGAATAGATGAAGACTATACAGGTCACTGCTACATGCCTAATACATAAGTTTTGGTGATTGGTGGTTGGTAGACGCTCCCATTGTCAAAAAGTTAGAATGTCTAGAACCATGAAGCATCTAGTATCATCGAGCTAGTATCTTTTCTAGGGGTTTTGATCAGAATGTGTCACTCACAGATGTAAAGTCTTTATGCGTAAATCTACTAGTTTGAGAGAGGCGGTTCTTCATGGATCATCCCGAATATCCCCAATAGAAATACAATGACTTGGCGTCCTACTAAGGTTGCAGAGTGTGCTTGCCCTTTGAAGGGGTTTATTCTGCTTGACACTCATGAGGCAAATGACTTTGGCTTTCGATTAAGCCCCGCCATTTAGACATTGGACCATTGAAGACTAAGCTTCATCTATTTTATCGTGGCAAGTGAACGACAGAAAAGGATGCCGGCTTACACACGAGTGGCCTCTTCCTGAGAACCACTAGCACTAGAATCTCCGCGTGCTTCTCTTCAAGGCATATGTGGAAGACCAGAAGGGAGACCACTGATAATAGCAGTAGCAGTTGCAGTTGCCACTGCTTTAGTAGTGAAAATCGAAAACTGATAAAAGAAGCACTGAGTCTGACCTGCAAACTAGGCACTGTGTCACCCACTTATTACTTCACTACAGCTTGCATACCATCGACTTACTCAAAGAGAGGCCTACAAGTTATAATCACCTTCTACTAATACCAATACTCCATCGGATCTCGCCGCTGTGGTTACACGAGTCAGCCCTATGGAGCTCGTAATGACTCGCAGCCCACCAACCCTTGCGGGTAGTTGGACGTACCAAGACCGAGTTCCCGAGCGGGCGAGGACTTGGAATCGGAATGCCACGATGGAAACTGGGTCCAGCTCCTTAAAAGACCACTTCAGGAACGGATCTAAGCGGATAAGCGTAAATATTAGGTGAGAAATGGGACGAGGTGGCCATAATTGCATGTGGTGGGCAGCACATTTCTGGAAATGCGGCCGGAGGCCCGTGTGACGATTGAATATTGACATTTCGATAAGGGGCTGCTCCTGGGTATCACGACAACATGCACTCGTTGGGGGACGAGCAACAAATCTGCACTCTCGCCCTACATTTGAACGCCAGTCTTAGCTTACCTTGTCACGATAAACTGTGTAGATAAGAATTGGACATTTAGAAATGGTCGCAGTTTTCAGCGAGCAATTGTGATTATGAACTCTATGTCGTTTGAGTATCCATCGTACTGCAGTAGTGCTGTGCAAAAGAAACAACGAAGAAGCTCTTAGCAAACCTGCTCACCACCTGCTTCTTTTCATGACTCGAGATGCCTGATCTGGAGGGTGCTGATTTGAACAACTGAAACGCGCATGCCCTCGATATTCTTGGCCAACCTGTCAAGGGGAACTTTTGAATTGAGCCTCCTGCCATTTGGATCGTGAATAGTGGTTTAACTGGGGAAGACCTCCCAAATTCGTACGTCAATGCAACTCCAGACTTCCTTTATGGGATGCTCTCAAACTATGCCCCTGGTTCCAACGTGGAGAAGGTCCTTTCATTCCTGGTATCCTAAGCCGATGGGATTTGACATGTCAGAAACGTGGCATGCATGTGCCGTAAAATCCTTATACCTCAAGGTGCGCAATTCCAATGCTGTGACCGGTTGGGCAACCGGGGCACCTTTTTGGGTAGGTTCAAAGTTGGTAACGAGAAATTCAGGAGCACTTTGGTCTGGCATACTTTAATTGCTTCCAATCATCTTACCAGGAGGCGCTTGTGGACGAAAGGTTTATGGGGGTTGTGGACATATGCCTATCAGGCCATCACACTGCATTTCCTTTTTCAAGTAGGATATCTGGAGCATGAGACATTGAGTTCAATAACTTGGCAAGCTTTGTGGAGGCAGGCCGCAGGCTTGGGATCATCGTGAGATGGATGGAGCCACTGGACGAAATGGATGTGAGTCCAAGTATAATATGGGCTTGGAGACCATCTCTTGATATAGATTCGAATGCAGGCTACCCGCAGCCATCTTTGAGAGCCACCGCTAGAGTCGTGTGATAAGAATATCCTCTGATCTCTTTACTGCATTTTCTTGTAGGCCCCAAGTACAATAATCTTGGTTTACTAAATTCTCAATGCTAACACCATGCCCTTAGACCCCGGTGCAAGAACCAAGATGAAGACGATCAGCACATTCCTCCTCGCCGCTCTGGCCAGCCAGGCCTCAGCGGCGGTCCAGATGGAAGTGCGATTCAGCGATAGGATGATCGACGTCGGCAACCTCGACCTCTTCGCCGTAACATGGCAAACAATATACGGAGAGACCGGCAACACCAGGGCCATCATGACAGACCGCTCCGCCGGCGCCCAGACTAACGAGTGCACGCACGCCGACGACTACGACCCGGACGTGACGGTACGGGTCAAGATGAACGGCGCCTGGGGCAAGACGCCTGGCCTCGAGGGCAACGAGATGCGCGACGGCCTCGTCCAGTCCATGTGGGAGGTCTTGAGCAGGGTGTCCGACCCGTACGGGTACGAGGTCTTCAACGGTTGCCGGGGACTGACGTGGATGGAGGGCGTCGGTTACACACCCGACGCGGCGTGTGGCCCCCAGAGCTCGAGGAATTGTCAGTACGCGTGCCGCAGGGAGAACTCGCCCGGATTGGCGCAGTGTATGAACCATACTTGGGGCCACAAGGTGCCGTCGTCGCTACGGGTGACGGCGTACATTGACGGTCAGCTGCAGCCTGATGACTTGATTATTGAGTTTTCTGCTACTGCCAACTCGGAGAGCGGTGGATGCGGATGGGTTGGGAGCATTGCTGGTGCCCTTGCTGGGTTCATTCCCGTTGGAGGCAAGGTGTTTGCCAAGGGTATTGAGATTGGTTGCAGTGATTGAGGTTCACTTGCCAAGTGAGCGAGAGTACTCTGGTCTGAGTCGATGCTGCTGTCTAGGTCTAGATATCTGTCACACTTTTAAGCTTAAACCCGCTTCTTGTTGATCCTTCATGTGAACGTTGCTACGCATCACTGACCAAAGTCCCTTTGACGTGAAATGTATGTATTATTAGCCATATTGCAGTTGCACCGAAAGATTCCAGCAATTAAAGCTGTTAGTTTTCTCAAGGATCTCATAGGCTGGGGTAACGATGCGAGATGATTGGGCTGCGCTATCAACCACCAGGTCAGACTCCTGTTCAGGCAACAGCATGGAAACCACAAGATCCCGCGATTTCCTCAACTTTTACACCATAACAGTCCCAGTTCAAGATTTCGGTCACACATCCAATTCCTACCTACCTTCACCATGCCGACACCTACTCTTTCCGGGACAACGCTCGTCAATCTAGGACCCTTAACAACAATATGGACGGCCCCAGCATCATGCGCAACCTCAGTCCCAACCCCAGCCCTAGCTCGCAGATTTGACCCCGGCGTGGCATACTGGCAAGAAACCTGCCAAGTCGACCGCGACCCCTTCGACGACTGCATGCCCTCCGGCAGTGCGATGAACTTGGAATACCACTCACGCCGAACCTCTACCCAGCGATTCCTCCTCCATTTCTCCCCGGGCAGCCAGTGCCCTTCCGGATGGGTGACCGCAGGCTACGGCGTCCGCAACGAGATGTCGTCGCACTCGTTGAGCGGCGTCTTTGCGGACCCGACGTTGACAATCGACGCCGGGACGACGACGTCTGTTGCGTCGGAGATTAAGCCCACGTTTGAGTTGGCGGCGAATTTGTTCATGTCTGCGATGGAGCCTTCGGAGACTGTGATCGCATGTTGTCCGAGGTAAGTTCGGCATCTTTTCTTGAATTTGGCTCTCTTCTCGAAAGCTAGGACAGATCTGATGACGTATTCTTTCTTCTTAGTGGTTATACTGCGGGATTCTATGGGAACTGCTACTCTTCGACCGCCAGAGAGGCTTACACGGCCATAACAGGTTGTAAGTTGTACAACGTAAACGATGTGGAAGTAGTAGACCGCACGTATACTTTCCACGGGAGAGTCGTTACAGGCAGCTCCATATCGATCAAAGGCTCAGTCGTTTCGTTGCAGCCGAGGACAGTAACGATTGAGGCGAAGGAGAGCACGAGTTACGTTGGCGCGTTGATCACGCCTGGAATTACGCTTGTGAATAAGGGGTCGTCTGGGGATGTAGTTCAGACCTCGGCTGCTGCTTCTGGAGGGGGCTCGTCGCCGGTCCCGACTGAGATGCCCAGCTCTGCAGTTCCCTCCAGGGCCGCTGGCTCGTCTGTGGTTAACGGTGTTGTGATAGCTGTTTGGGGAGTTGCGATGATGGCGGGTGTCGCTCTCATAGTGCCTCTTTAATATTAACAAGTCCTCCAGTTCCATAACTCCGTCTCTCTCTCTCACTCTCATATGATAATGCATATACATAACTATAGCACATTTTATCATTGCTTGTGGTAGTCTGCTTCTACTTCATTCATACCCGCTCTAGTTATGGTCAAGAGGTCTCACCGAGTCATTTACATAATTGGTGGACCCTCCTAGCTCAACTCCAAGTGGACAACAACCCCAAAATGCATGCGAAGCGAGTCCCATTTGCGGAGACGCACACACAAAAACATGGCAAACTCTCCGCTTCCTGTCTTCTGCCCACCGTCAATCTGCAGCAAATAACAAAAGGCAATGTAAGGACCGACCGCGATTCGAACGCGGGGCCTAGAGATAGTTACAGCTGAGAAACTGCAATCTCTCGCTCTACCACTGAGCTATCGATCCAAGTGGTTGTTGCTGATGTCCTGGCTTCGCACCCAAGCTCATGGATGCTAGTGTTCTGCAAGCTCCTGCAAGGGAGGATTTCCAGCCCACCAACAAACGAGCTAACAGCTTGCCACTTTCACCTTGTTCCGAGCAACGAGATTGGTTGACAAAGACTATGCTGACGTCTCATAGAGTCATTGACAATAACAACAATAGCAACGAATTACTCACGCCCAAACTCTGGTGTCACTTGAAGAGATGAGTCAACAGCAGAACGAACAAAGACACCGGCTTCTCGGCCGACGGACTTGACCGGGACGGACCCATTGGAGGGCTCCACCAGTCTACAGCAAACAATACCTAAGCCCCAATGTGAGCGGGAATCGTCATCCAACAGCGGTTGCTTTCGTAGCTCAATTTGGTCAGAGCGTCCGACTTTTACGAGTAAAAGATCATCGGAAGGCTGTGGGTTCGAGTCCCACCGACCGCGTCTCTTCTTTTGCATTTTGAGATGCTTCACCTCTCGCTTGCAGTGTCCTCTTTTTTTGGTGTTGTGAGTGTCCAGCAGTTGGCAGTAGGTACTGTCCACTACGAACATATGTATGAAGAGGGCTTGTTCAGGCGCTTAATGTGTATCGAATTGTGACTCTGCGCTTAGTGTCAAGTGCTCAAAGGCATAACGGAAACGCCAATCATCAATACTTGAGACGAGTTGAAAGAACCCTGACGCCTATTGATGTTTGCATTGTTGCATGCTTTTTATCACTTCAGAGAGCCGGACATGTCAGTTCATGGCCGGCCTGTGCCCCACTTCCGACGACTTTGGACTACCAGCATATCTAGCATCTTAAGAAGTCGTCCTACGTTCCATGAAAGAAACAATCATCGAGTTTATCTTGTCGTCCTTAAGAAGATTGGGATTGATCTATACCAAAATTGGCCTAACAAAATGTCCTCCACCAGCTGAAAAGCCATCCATTCTGCGTCAGACTAGGATCAAGTCACGCGGCACGAGTCTCGCAAACATGCCGCGACTTTCCGGCACTGCAAACGTCCCAATCCGCTCAAATGCACCCTCATTCCGCGGCGATTCTTGCAGGACCAAGCCTACTTGCATGTGGTTTACACTATGTGCACAGGTACACGACTGCTCGTTTGATCCCTCCAGGTCATGTCCGACTGGCGTCATGATGCCTAGCAGCAAAATATAGCATTTGAACCCGTCACTGGCTTGGAACGAACCGCGAAATCTCGCGCAATCCGGCAGAAACCGAAAATCATGTGAGAATTGCGATCCGTAGGATCACCATTGTAACAGCTGAACAGATGTGGGATTAGGGGCCTTCTGCCCATCGGTGGCACGGCAGTGATCGGCCGAATCGCCGCTTTGGCTTTTATGCGGTAGTTGGTGGCTAGCAGACTATCGTCGGATCCGGGCAACTCGTCGTAGAACATTTCCACTGAGCCGAATGACGTACTGCGACAGAACGAGTCGAATGTGTAGCTTGGCGATAGGCGTGAGGCTCCTCCAAATATGGTTCCCTTGCTCAGAACCATGGATGCCCAGGACCATGATGGTATGCGACTGGTGTGATGTCGATATGCGTCTGGAATAGATGGGGAATCTTGGTCAAGCTGGTTTGGTTGCTCACTCCCAGGCGGAAGCGTGGTCCATAGAAGGCCAAGCGCCAGCTCTTCAGGTGTGTCTACTGCGATGCCGGCGAAGTGAGATTTTCCAGTGAGACGAAGAATGTGTCGAAAGAGGCCGGCGACAACTGCCAGCCTCTCTTCGGGGTCGGCCGGCGTTAGGGCCTTGTAAAGTTTGAGCACATAGTCGGGAGGTCCGACGACGCCTCCCGACCCGACGGCCCCGTGCGAGATCCATGTGGGTTTCCTCAGGATGTTCTGTACAAACTTTTGTCCAAAGTACATTGGCTTATCGCACTCGCATCTGGGCCGTTCAAGGCAGTCCCACACTAGCTCTGACTTGTGCAGATAAAGCACCCTGCGAGACAGCAAAAGGCGCTGAAAAGCAGGGGCATGCTGGAAGAGTCCATGGTGTTCTTCAAACGCATTTGATTCTTATTCATCATCCATGGGCCGCAACAGGGCCTTGTTGGCGAATGCCGCGTGATACCAATGCATACTCTGCCGAGCATAAATGTAGTGTGTGCGGCCAAATTTACTGACTTGGATGGCAAAGGATTTACGCGCATTTTCGACGCCGGCTATGCTGTTCTGGCGCTCGGGGCCGAAATTGCTCAGCCTGAGATCCTTAACGCTTGTCAAGGCGATAGTGAGGTATGACCGTCCAAAGACGATATCCTCTCGAGCTAAGTGCCAGTTTACGTCTTCTTCGATGTCTTGAATGACGCAGAAATCTTGGATCCAAGCGTACTGGATACCCAATTCGCTAGCGACCGTGATGGTCTCTTGCAGGGCCACAGGTAGTTGCCACCACTGCAGACACTTTTGGCGCTGGTCGAAGTTTTCCGAGGTTGTCAACGATGAAGGAGCCGGTAACGGACCGGTGTAGCCGTGGACGACGGTGATGTAGGGCCCGGAGACTGAGCAAGAGTTGACCAGTTTGATACCGTTCCGCGGGCTTTTTCCAAGATCCAGGAATCGCCGAGGAGCAAGACCGGGCTCAGACGGGTACATCCCCGTGCTACATGCCTTGTGTGTTGCATTGCACTCATCGACCCATCCGCGGATCGTCTTCTGCCGATGCTTAGAGTGTAGTTTGAGAGGAATCTCATTACAGACTCCGATAGACTTCCACGGCAGCGGCCTGCCTGCGAATGTGTCAATATCCATCCCGAAAGCCCCCTCAAGGTTCATCACTTTCTCACCTGGTTTCGTGAACAAGTCGACTAGGCCCTTCACAACAACAACATTGTTCGCGGAGTCCCGATATTTGACAGATGATTGGATAGAGATAGTCTCAAACAGGTAAATGACGGCGTATGAATCATCAAGCATCAGCCTCTTCTTGGGAACGTTGACATTATTGGCCCAAAAGATGGCAACTTTGATGGCGTAACATATTTGGCATCCCTTCTTACTGGCCTTACTAATGCTCCTGAGATCGCAGGAAAATTCTCTGGAGTCGACCGATTCAGGCATATGCGCCTTGTCGAGATCGCAGCAGACCGTACAAGGCGGCCGCTCCTGGGCAGCATCGGGATGGGCTTGGACCCCGGTGCCGGGCATCGTGTATTCTCAACGTCGACGGACCGCCATTTAGTGGCGATGCAAGATTGGCTAGGCAGCCTTGAACGGCGGCAGTGGCCAAATGACTTTGATACTGGTTAGAAGTCCTGGGTTACTTTGCTGTTGGCATGGAGCAAGCCGGCAGATTGCTGTTTGAGGTTGTGCTTTCAGGATGGAGATGGTTGCAGACGTGAAGGTGCAAATCGTCCATTCGACATGGCGATGGTTGGGTGTGAAGACTGTGCACCGCACTGTTCTAATGGAGTTTTGCTGACATAAGGCAAAGCCCCACTGAAAAGGGGCTGAGGTGGTCCCCGCTAAGTGGTCTCTCCTTCACGCGACTCCGTCTCAACACCACCATATGTCAAATGCTGTCATGCTGCATACGTCACCTAAATAGTGTTCTTTAGCGGCACATTCAAGAGGGAACTAGGGATAACGGTGCGGCCAAGATGAAGTTTCCTTGCCGTTGGAGGGACCGAAGTATCGTGAGAATAATGAAATCTAATTAGCTTGTCTATGGTATTTGTATGCTAGTCCGCTTTTTGTTGGATTGGAATGAATGCATTACATGCCTTCTCTATCTCTCACACTTTCGACACAGTCTTGCCACCGGATCACCTTCATGTAAATGCACTCGATAATGGCGATGACTACCATGCCGCCACCGAGGCCTATCCAGGCACCATCCAGCTCTAGGCCTGGTGATCCCAGCTCGAGCCAGACCGCGAGCGGTACTGCAGCCAGGTAGTTCACGGCAAACACGACAAAAGCCGCAACCGCCTGCCGGCCGAGACCCCGCAGCACACCGTTGCATCCGCTGATGATGGAGTCGATGAGCTGGAATGCCGCGACCGCAAGCATGGAGTCGGACGTGAGCCTTTGGACCTCGGCGTCCTCAGAGAATACAAGGGCGAGCTGGTGGCGGAAAAGGAAGATTAGAATGGCGTCTAGGATACCGACGACGGTAAAGACGATGGCGTATACGGTTGTGGCTCGCCGAGCGGTCGCTACGAGCCCGCCGCCGATCAAGTGACCGATGCGGGTGCTGATGGCAACCGAGATTGAGAAGGGGATGTGCCACATGACGACGGAGATGGTCGTCAAGATAGTTTGTGCGGCAAGATGCTCGGTGCTCAGGTAGGATGTGCTGAGCGTCAAGATCTCAAAGGCAGCCCACTCGCCCAGGTTGACGGCCGATCCGGCAACGGAGAGTCGCACCGGCACGCTCCACTCAGTGAAGGCCTTGCGAGAGAATCCACCCCAGCACTGGTGCGACCACTGGCCCCAAACGACGATGTAGATGAGCAGGAGGACGGGACGCAGGTCGTTGGCCAGAGCCTGGCCCAGGGCGGCGCCTTCCAGACCCATGTTCAACTTGAAAGCGAACAGCCAGCTGAGAAGTGCGTTGATAGGGGCGCAGATAATCAGGACGACCATGGCGCTCTTGAAGTCGCCCTGAGCCTGGAGGAATCTCTTGAGGGCTTCAAAGGCGGCGTAGCCGGGCATGCCGATCAAACTGACACGTAGAAACGTGCCGGCCTTGACGGCCAAGTGGTGCTGCTTGACGAACAGAGAGAGAATCGATGGCGAGAAGACCCAGAAGAGCCCAATTGGGATGGTGGCGAGGGCCATGAGAATGAGCATGCGTTGAACATGGAGGCCGACGGCGGTAAGGCGACCAGAGCCGTGAGCCTGGGCGCAGAGGGTGTCCAGAGCGGTAGCCATGCCCTCGTAGATAGCCAGGCCGATGATGTTCATGGTCGTCAGACCAATGCTAGCGGCGGCGAGGTCATCGGCGCTGAGGTGGCCTGCCACGAACGTCGTGATGACGGTGAATGAGTACTGTAGCAGATAGGTGGCGATGAGCGGTAATGAGTACCGACAGAGGAGCCATGCTTCCGACAGCCAACCACCGCTACCCGCCGGTTCAATGTCCGGCTTGTGATGCGGCTGATCCGACAGCAGCGGCGTGGTCTCGCCGGTGCGGTCGTCTCGGTCGCGGGGGTCCATGGCGGGGGCGACGGCTCTACTTTCGGTCGCAGAACGAGGGTGTGAGATGACACGGGAAGGGTAGGGCGGAGAAAAGGTGAGGTGGCAGGTGTTGGATTTTTAATTAGGTCCTTAAAGGTAGTAGCCAGGGGCCCAGCTGAGGACTTTAGGTTCCCGTAAGGTTTGCTTTGATTAGCCCAAAGCTGAGGTGCATCAGAGGGAGTCTGTGTGTTCTTCTGGGATGGTTGTCTGCCTTTGTCTTCTCCTTTTCCTTTGCTTTCTTCGTCTGGATTGGGTGGTGTCAAACGCGTCTTGGGATCGGGCCGTTCTGCACCGCGAGAGCGAGGGATAATAAGGGATGGAATTGGGAAGGACAAGGTCAGGAACACAGCCCTGCCAGCTTACACAACTGTCCGTGCGACTGCAACAAGAAGAGAAAGTTTTCACGCCGGCAATGCATTCCGACTCCCGTCGACTCCGGATACTGTACGTACTCTGAGCGGATCAATTGGTGGGTCCATCTCCACTACTCCGGATCCCCGAACCCGCAGCACTCTGCAGGATCGCGCCACCTCGGGTTACCAGTGTGAGATCTCATTCGCTCACTCGCTCTCATCAAAGTTCCCATGCTCGTGTACACAAATGAAATAGAATGACTTTTTGCAGAGTCCTTAGCGGCTTGCAGGTCAAGTTTGACTCATCTAATTGGATTCGTACAGGCAGGACCGGAGAGTTGTGAGAAAGTTGTGCTGCCAAGCTCACTCATAGCTGGTTGTATATCAACATCATATAAGATGAGTCACGACTTCCTTTTGTCTCCGAAAACCGTCCGAAAACACAGAGCTGCGTTACGAGACCAAGAACATCCTTCCAGGGCTCAATTGACATATCAGTACGTACGCAAAGAAGTGAAACAATCTAAATTTACAATCGCAAGTCAGCCTCAGCAGACTTTATAGACCCCTCTTGTGAGCTCGATCTCCGTCTCTCATCAGAAGACGCCCCAAACTCTCCATCTTCAGTCAATTTCCTCATACTTTCACTGCGACCGAAATCTACTTTCTCTGTATAACCGTGGATCCTGCAACCGATCGACCAGTCGGGTGCTCTCGCCAAACCAGCCCTCGCGATCCTCGAATCTCCTGCGCCGCTCGCCAGATGAGACCCCGGTCTCGTGGTGGACCCGCTGCCGATCGGCAAACTCGTTGGTCGAAGCATGCTGCCGTCTTTGCCTGATGAAGTCAAATGGTAAGGTGCTTGAATGGCGGCCACGGAGGTAGACCCGAGGAGGCTGTCAATTACTCCCTTCAGACTTGGGATGCATGCTGTGAGGATTGACATGCCTAGTGAGACTTATAACCAGATAAAGTGATGGACCGCATTCCATGTTGCGTTATTGTAGTCCGTCACCAAGTTCTGTGTGTAAATTAATCTCGGAATCGTGATTATGGGAACGCTGTGCAGAAGAAATGTCAGTAAATCCATCGCTGAGCTAGAGAGCTCGAGGCAACTTACATGATGCGAGTGGTGAATAGAGCAATTACCATCATCTTTCTCTTCAACGTAGTCTGCACTTTCCACATCATGGCGACGGGTAGCAGACATAGACAAACATCCGTAAAAATGTCCATCACGCCGTTGTAGAGGAAAATTCCCTCTCGGACTGGGCACTTCTCATCAGCAATGGCAAGCCACGGCTGCGGTAGGGAGCATTGAAAGGCCGTAGTGAATATTCCGGAGATGCCCCAAGCCACGATGGTACCGAAGAGGACCTTGTTTGCAAGATTCAGTCGTCCGTGATTATTGATGGAGTGAATGAGGAGGCATAGCGAAAATTTTGTGCTAGCGGCAATCGCAATCGCAAGTATGGAGGAAGCGTAGAACAGCTATTATATTTGGTCGATATCGTCTCTACTTCTGCTGTTGCTATATGACTGCATACCTTGTGAAATGCCTCGAGATCATAAGGCTCTACTACATCTTGATGATGGCCTAGTCCGTGGTTGCAAGCAATAATGATGCAGACTGTCTGTGAGAGAAGTAATCCGGTCGCGACTAATAGTATTACATCGTGACTCTTCAAAGAAGTGATGTTGAGACGAATGATAAGCTTCAGAGATATTCCGACGATGGCGTAAATGAGGAAGATCAGCGAGGCAACAACGACCAGCGCAGCTTGATCGTCTTCCGTCAACGCATAAAATGGAGGATCTGGTTGAATGTCGACTAACATATTCGACTGGCCCAATGACCGGATCTTTGCTAGAAGAATTCAATTGAGCCTCCTACTCGCGGCTTTACTGTTTTCTTGATGGGTTTGCAGAGTGTTTGAACTTTGTAATCAATGAGCTACGAGGGGAGGACAGGCCCATGGCCATTGTTCGGGCAGTTCTTCATCGATCCAACGACCCGGGGTTCTTACCAGAATCCGGAGTAGCTTGCGAAGATCTACATAACAGCTCTATGCCGTGTGTCGAGCAAACCAACCAACACAGGGGCTAATGTAGGGTTGCTTGGACCGGACATTCTAGTATGCAAACTCTGTCAGGTCTTCAGTGAGTCAAACATATATGTGCACTTGCTAGATACAGGTAATACATGTGCCGGGAGGTCCCACACGACGGGGCCTTCTCTCTTATGTGAAAGAAGGGTGACAAACTTCCTACCATATCTTTGACATGATTCCATAGGTCGAATCAATCCGTCGTCTTCTCAAGGAAGGCTGTCTGTGTGCGCGTGGTGGAACTTCGACTGTGGTTCTGTTACTCGTTGCAAGGATGGAAGCGAAGTTTGCCTGTGGGCCAACATCTGATGTGACGAGAAGTTTCGTGGTACATATGATGTGGAGTCAAAAGAGTAAATGAGATGTCGGGGAATTAGATTGAACTAATCTCGAGTCTGGTTTATAAGACTAACCTGGCAGGTCTTTCTGGAACTGTTGGAGACATCGCACTTCATGTGTTCGTACCAAGACTCTAGTGCGTACTGTTTGAAGTGGTAAGGTGCATAGTAAGCTATCGCTTGTGACCTGGCAAAGTTTGCTCTCTTACTTGGTTTCGCCCAATTAGCGTTCACTGCTTTCATTGGTTCGGACACATGCCACTCAGAAGACAGCAGTCTCTAGACCCGAGCTATATACAAGCATCTAGACCATCGTTGTGAGATCGATCAATACGTCGGGTTACATTCTCTGCAGGCGAGCTCAGACAACCGGACCGAGTTCACTTGGGGTCGGAGTTGGAATACCTGCAGGTACCTTCGATATCGATTCCCTCACTCTGAGTCGTGCTGGGAGATCGCACGGAGAAGTGACGAAGACATGGGAGCAAAGCAGCGTAACCCTGGTACTCCGGTATTCTTCAGCCCACGACTAATGAAGTGATGACCACAACGGAATCTGACCAGCAAAGACCATATGTGATCGATCCACCTGCAAAGTTTGGAGGGTCCGGTGATGCCAAGCAGCTCCGGGAACGATACGGGTAGAGTCCGTGTGGTTGAACCCCTCCCGGCATGCAGGAACCCCGGCACGAACCCACCACGGAAGCCACCTGTTGGTCGGTAATAGTTCCCATCAAGGAAGCGGTGTTTGCTTCAACATGCATATTCAGCGGAGCCTAGTCCTAAATTTTGATTGAATCCTCGTTGGTTTGGACTTCCGACCGCCAGCCGTAACTGCATCGAAGGAGATAACCCGGATACTTCCTTCACCAATCATTCCCTAGGCTCAGAGTCGCCCATCTATCTGCAAGCTTACTGCGGCTACTGGGGTCATTGTCTCACAATTTCCCTTGTCTGTGGTTACACCTGCTGATATTTATGTGCATATGGTGCAGCATTTGGCCAAGGCTGTGGATGTGCTGCCCGGCTCTTCTGATCTTCTCCAACTCGACTCCTTGAAGAGACTCTTACCTGTGCCGAGGATCGAAAGCATATCGTTCATCCTCATTTTTCCATCGAGAAAACTCAGACCGCCTCCTTGTTGTTGACTTCCCTTCTAATCCTTCCTCAATCGGTCTCTCGATCATCTCATGATGGCTCTCGCAGAAGCAATCGAGCTGCAACCCAGCGTCAAAGACGCCAGCCAGATTGACGCAAACGAGTCAAAACATGGATCCGAAGTCTACAACCAAACGCGGACACGGAGAGTGTTCTCCTTCTCCCAGCTCTTCGCCTTTTCGTTGACCTACATGGCCTTGTGGGAAGGCATGTGTACGTAAGTAAACTGCCGATTCACTCAAGAGGTTCTCGGCCTTGGTCTAACCGAATCCAAGAAACATGTACTTTGCACTCTACAACGGCGGACCTCAAACGTTCATCTTTAGCTTCGTCATAGTGTTTTGCGGAGCCATCGCACAAGCCGCTTCGTTAGGCGAGATGGCCTCGATCCAACCTGTCGCCGGTGCCCAGTACCACTGGACTTTCCACCTCGCCCCCGCACGTGTCAAGCGCTTCGCTACCTGGATCCAGGGATGGTCGACGTGGTTTGGTTATGTGTCGCTTCTTGCTGGCATTGCGAACGTCACCATCATTCTCCTGGAGTCTATGATTGAGCTGAATCACCCCAACTACGTGCCGGGAGGCTGGCACACCTCGGTGCTCGTCATCGCCATGTGCCTTATTCAGGGTTTGATGAACACGTACTGCTTCAGAGTTATTCCGTGGGTTGAGCTTGTTGCTGGGGTTCTTCACGTCTGCTTGTTTGTCGTCTTTGTCGTTGTCTTGACGGTAATGGGGACTCGACATTCGAGCAGCTTCTTCTTGGAGACCAACATTGCGTCTGGATGGACGGATACCTTCATTGCGTGGAACCTCGGCATGCTGACTTGTGTTTGGAGTTTCACCGGTATGAGCCAATGCTCCAAAGACTCTTTACCTCGATATTTCAACTAACAGTCTGCCAGGCTTCGATAGTGCCATCCACATGAGCGAAGAAACCCGAAAGGCCAAGTTTGCGGTCCCTCGTGCCATGTTCTGGTCCATCTTCATGAACGGATGCCTCGGCTTCGTCATGGTCTGCGTCATTCTTGTCTCAATGGGCTCAATCGACGACGCCCAAAACTCGGCTAGCCCAATTCTCACCATTCTTCTCAGCATCACTGGATCCAAGAGCGCCACAACGGCCATGATCACCGGTCTCTTCGTCGTATCCTTCAGCGTCAACTTGGCCAACATCGCCTCCGTATCCCGTCTTACTTGGGCATGGTCCAGAGACGGAGGCATGCCTGCTTATCTGGCATACGTCCACCCAAAGCACCGTGTACCGATCCGCGCTATTGTCGTCACGGTGTTCATTGTCTGTGCTCTCTGCCTTCTCAACATTGGAAGTTCGAGTTACGTTGCTTTCGGCGCTATCACCTCACTCTCATCCATGGCTCTCTACCTCAGCTATGCGATCGCAATCAGCAGCATGCTGTACGCTCGTTTCACTTCCAAAGGAGGCGTTGAACTAGGAGAGTGGAACCGTGGTCGCTTCGGTCTTTACATCAACTCATTTGCCTTGGTCTACACCCTTTATGTCATTGTCTTCCTACCTTTCCCTTCAACGATTCCCGTAACTGCGGAGAACATGAATTATTGCGGACCAGTCATGGTCTTCGCCTTGCTAGTTGCAGTAGGTCTATGGTTCATCAACGGGAAGAGGTGGACTGGGCCAAATCTTACGATTTTAGATCTGGTTATGGATAAGTCTTGATATGAACAGGCAGTCAGCCCCAAGTTATTCAAACTACGTAATGTGTACAAGGAATTGAAGTTTAATGAGAGTAATCTCTAGTCAGATACACGATGCTATTGAAATGTGTGCTTCCGCAAAGCCCGTTGCCTCCCAACAAATAAACTCTTTGAGTCTACATGTTGGATAGATGGATATGACCCATGATTCCAAGTACAAGGGGAGTGATGGGAAGTTCTGCAGATGTACTCGGCCCATCTATACAGGCCCGTCGGTCATCGAGTCCATTACTCAAGGGAACTTAATGAACACCTTGAGCTCCTGTTGGTTTCTCAACTGCTCATAGTGCGCAGGGACTTCCTCAATGTCGATAGACGCGCTAGCCACGAAGCCTGGTTTCGCAATACCTCTGGAGATCAAGTTGACGAGCTCCCCAGCAACAGTCTCGGGATCTGCGATACCGCCTTCGTATCTAATACCCTTCGAAAAGAACTGTGTGAGGGGAAATGAGACTTCCGGCGTAATTCTCTCCGCATTCGGAGCTAGACCAGTGTTCGGTTGGGCCAGGTAGATCCCAATCTGGCCAATTCCGCCACCTGCTGCAACAAGTTCGACCATCTGGTTCAGCACGATGTTGTGCTGCATTGTACCGTTGGCAGTAATGGCTTCCATGCCGACAGCGTCGATGGCCCGGATGACACCACCAGGCTCGTATGCGAGAATTTGCTGTACGGGATCGCTGTCCATGAAGTTGATTGGCACGGCTCCGATGGATGCAGCCTTCTCAAGTCTCATGGGGACATGGTCTACGCTGTACACCCGAGATGCACCGCGAAGTATGGCGGAGTACGCAGCAAGCAGGCCTACAGGACCAGCACCAAAGACAGCAACAGTGTCACCGGGCTCAAAGCCAGACTTAGTGACAGCAATCCATCCGGTGGAGAAGACATCGGAGACGGTCAGATAATCTTGTTCGATGCTGGTGTTGGTGGTATCGGCGGTCAGGGGGACGGGGATAAGAGCCATGTCGGCGAACGGTACTCGGGCGTAGGGAGCTGGTCAAGCATCATTAGTAACTTAGAATTAAGGGCTTTTGAGGAGAAGCTGAGAAATTAAATACCTTGGAGACCTCCGTTAAGACCTCCAAAGGGTAGGCCCATTCGAGGTCCAGTCGCAACTCCCATATCAATGTGTCCAGTGGCGCCATTATCTGGAATGATGACGTATTGCCCTACTTCCAAAGAAGATACACCACTACCGATGGACTCAATGTATCCCACTATACAACCGTTAGCTTTCATGTGGTTTAGTAGGACATACTCTTGCCCGAGAAGTCGGTTCATACTAGCTTCGTGGCCTAGCGCCCATGGTGGCTCCCCTCCCACATAGCCATGATAACGGTGCAGGTCTGAACCACAAAGCGCCGAAGTTGTGATACGAACTACTGCATCAGTCGTATTGATGATGCGTGGCATCGGGAACTGATCAATATGAACTTGATACGGCCCCGTCATGACGGCAGCGCGCATGGTGCTGTTGAGAAAGCTAAGCGACATAGTGTTCAAGTTTAGACGTCTTCTCGAGGTGATTCAACTGTCAATGATGTTGGAATGATACTTTAAGCCCTCAAGCCAGGCAGCATTTGGTGTTAAATAGTGAAAGAGCCTCGGTCTGTTCGGCGCTTGTCCTCGGAGGCTCGGGAGTCAACTCAAATCTCATGATCTGCAGAACATAGCGACGTCGGCATTGGCATGACGCAGCAGTATTGGTTGTTCTTTGTGACGAATGACACACGTTCAAACTTGTGATTCTATCCTTTGTCAACTGATAGTGATGGTGCCATTGGGGTTGAGAACGGACCGAGGCCGTACCCACCGCCGGATTTAAGCATATATCAACCCAAGCTTAGTTCAACATGTCAGCGCGGTAGTTCGCTCGGTATCTCATTTGGCAATGGCCCACTTGCCCTAATACAAGGTGAATCGAAGATAGAAGGGCCTCCCATTGGACGACCGTATAGATCCCTGCAGCCGTCTTCCATAGCCGCTGTAGGTAAACAGGAATGATTATTGCCAGAACAACTCCTTCTGCAAGCTTGAAGGTATCGAGACTAAATTCCGCTCACCCCAAATCGGGTCGCCCGAATCTGAAGCAATGAATCAAGATATTGTTTGCCCGAAAGCTGCGCCGATTCCCGAAATCCGTTTCTTGCTCTTCACTGTTCATGCCAACCCTCGGAAGTCGACTCCGACAGGATCGGCAGCCGAGCTGGACTGGGCATTCCTAAGACTTTACCTTCTTGGCATTCATAGATAAGAAGGTTGTAAAGTATGAAATCAAAAGCTGGCAGGTTACACTGCGTAAGTGTCAGATCCCTTACCCAGACGAAAGTGAAGCGGTCGCTGCCATGTGTCAGATGTGGGAATCTCTTGTATCTCGAACAGCATACGCGGTTATGCAATCATCGTGGCTGTGCTGGACTGTTGTCTTCATTGCCAAGATGGAACAAGCCTACAAGCCCACCGACACTGGGCAGATTATTCAATACTCTTAGTTCATTCTCTGTATCCGAACCTCACACATTCCCATTTGTGCTGCATAAAACTCGGCGGCTGGCTCGATTCGATACGATGTATAGATTCTCAGGTAACGGGGAATCCCGATGAGATAAGGTGTTGTCGTTCTGTACTTGCATTGTCGTCGCCACTGCTGCGCGTCCCAATCATGCACCATCCCTCTTCTACTACGCTGATTCTCCATTGTAGTGGCATGTCCCAATGTGAACAAATGTTCAATGCCTACAGCCAAAAGAGGCAGCACGAGCTGACATGTACAGCGCAAGACCCCATCGCTTACTTGGAAACGTTCTGTCATTAGTTGCAGCTGTCATCGGCAAGAGCACAGCGTTTAGTCCAGCCGGTGTTCTCGGCTCTGACTAAAGTTCGGGCCCGAAGCTACCCGCCAGCCCCACTCCCGGCTCCGGGTCTCGATTGACGATGACCTTGGAGTTCACGTTCATAGTTGCAAAGAGAGGCGTAAAGTGAATCGCCTGTGGGCTTGAAGTCCAGAGTAATTGTAATTGAGAAAGAGTACAAATGCGACCGAAAAGATACGCAAATTCCCGAATATTTTTGAACTGAAGTATGTTTTTCGCGGCGTGCAAACAAAATGACGACATTTAGAAGCTAGTGAACACAACTGCCGAGTCTGTCTACTCTCTCTTGGATAGTTCGAATATGATTGCCTTCTCTGTGTCAGAGCCGCTGTTATTGGAAGATGACCTCGTCAAATGTTGCGATCTCCTTCGCTTATGATCCCAGAAGAGCCACCCAAGAAGGACAGCCGTGGTCAACGGGATCATAAACGCGAAATAAATCCAAATCTTGGACGAAATATGAGCTTCTATCATCAAATTGTCAGTGTCGAATACTATGATAGTATTCCAAAGGCGCTGACACGAACGAGTCTGGAAGTCAAAAAATGACATGCTGAAAATAGAGGCGATGAACGTGCCAGGCAGGAAAGCAGCACCGAGAAGAGAAAGAGCCTTCATTGCCTGACTGTCGCTCTTACTAGCATGAGCTATTCTCCTCTGATCTCCTGCTATCTTGAGGTTCAATTTCGCATCCTTCTGTGCGATTTCAGCCGTAATGAAAGAAACCTAGCGTACTTTGGTCAGCAAAAGTTCCGCGCCCCTTACGTGAGGGACTTAGTGAGTGGGTGTGTCTCTGACCATGCTTCTTTGGATATTCAAGCGTTCCACCGATATGGAGACGTATTTCTCCAAACCGACGAGCCGCACTCTGTGGCAATGAAAACGGTCCTTCAAAGTCGCATGAAGCCGTTTCAACGCTTTGGTCTTGTCAGTAGGATCGATATGTGCCCAGAAGCAATCTGTGGCAGCTTCCAAAGCATCAATGACCTTGGAGTAAAGCTTGGGTGGTCTATGAAGAATTCTTCTGTGGTGTTCTGTGAGATCACTCGCGACTGTGCGTAAATCGATGGTGCCGTCCTTTGAGTAGTAAAAGCCGGTTGTATCATCATTGACACTGATTGCTTTTTCTAGCTGCCGAATGCTAGTCCGGGCTTCTCGTTGCTTCACTTCGTCAGATGTCGCTACGAGGTCAGACATGATGATGCTGGGGATAAGAAGTGGATGGTTTATGTCAAGAACACAATCTCGCAAATTTGATAAGCACTCAACGATATCGGCGGTAGGTGTCCATTTCACGAAGCCTGTGGTCTCGCGTCGCTTGAAAGAATATGATAGAATCAATTCCCAGCCGCGGGTTCCGGTCTTCTTGCGGCTATCATGCTTTCCAAACACCATCTCTAAAGATGACGTGAGTCCAAAGCTTCGAGCCTGCGAGTGTAAGGTGGTGAAAGCTTACGAAGGTGGGGATCATCGTCTTCAAGAAGAACATATCTGTACCAGAAGAGAGGTCCAAGAAAGGTGGTCAATTCGACGGCGTGTAGCGGGAGCCGTAGGCATTTGAGCATTTGCTCATAATGTGCTGATGGCAGTGGAATCTTCAACGGCGTGAATGTTTCCAAATCCTTGGCATCCTTTTGAATGCTATATCGCGATGTCAGTCAATGTGGCATACGCCAATGAAAGTCTGTCCTGACATCAAACGAAGCTTGCTCGAAAGTTTGCCTTTTTCTTCTGCGACTGGTGGATAAAATTCGCCCTTGAAAAGTCTTTAGTGCTAAAGAGTTCTTTGCAGCGAAAGGGTCCCTGGTAAGGGGAATCAGAGACTCAGAGAGAGACACAAAGTCTTACCTGCTCGTGTAGAAAGTCGTTCAGGTTATCGAGAGTCAAATCTCCTTCTTTCAGCGTGTTGAAAGACAAATTCTGAGCCAAGCCAAATATATCAGAATATTGACGCAAAAAAAGCGCATCAGTGGGGGCTGGAACTTGCTGTGTAGTTGTAGAGCGCGAGATAAGTCGTTGCTTCAGTGACATGGCGACATTTCGCCAAGTGCTTTTTGAACATGCATTCTTCCATTGCTCCATCAAATCTTCAAGGCCTAGCAAGAAGCTCATCGCCATCAAAACGATTGGAGTGCCCAGATTTTGGACTTTAAGAAGAAGAAGAAAGTCATCGATCATGGCGAGCGGCGAGGCGCATCGGGCTCATTGCATTGCAGGGGTAACCAAAATCAGGCTGCCAAAAGTGCACTTTCACTCCGGATGGACCTTATCGCATACAATATTGCTGCTTGGTCCATGATTATGCAGCATGTTGCTAGCCGAAATATCGCAACGCGCATGCTCGTTTTATTGATTCGACGAATCGCTATGCACAGTTGAGAGTCGGTGTGCCTCCACCAACATAATGAGGCTGTCCGATCCTACAGGAATCATATCAAGCAAGGCTTTTGGTAGCGATCTTTACTATCCTGAGACTTGGGAAAATGCCAAATTTTGAGGGATCATATCGATTGTCACGTTCAATTCGTGGGGGTATTTCCACTTTTTGAGCGTTAATTCGAGGTAGCCTCGAATCAATGGGAACCGAGACCGATAGAGCCTGGTTCGTTCAAGGTGTCTTGAAAGGCATCGGCGTGGATGGTCGAGCTAGCTATAAACCGACATTTGGTCATAATTATCCAAGTCTTTCGGTTGGGAATTGCAGTCAAAGCGAAAAGAAATGTTAAAATCATGGTCGTTCGTTCACTTAAAGATTTCCTAGATTCCTCCTCTAGGCGCCCCAGGAACTAGTCAGTACCTCGCCTGTAGAGGACTGGATGAGCTGAATGAAGTGCGCCGACCTTCAATTCTTCCTGGAATGTTTGGAAAAGCAAACTTGAGTTGACAGGTGCTTGTTATTAACACGGTTTTGACATCTACTCTTACAGAAATGAGAGTCAAGAAACTGGAACAAAGGCTTGGTTGATACCGTGAATGTCTGTACGTTGCACTGAGACCTCATTTAAAAAGAAATGGCCTGTACAAAGAGGGTTTCTTATGGCAGGACGGCGAGGCGGGATAAAGGCCATTCCAATCCTCACATTGATTCGAATACATCTCGAGTGCGTAGTTAGCAGGTTCTCTGAAGAAAATCCAAAGTCGGCACTTCCGGCTTTCTGTAGGGGACAGCTCCGTGGATCCCGCCAGACAATTGTTACCAGAGCCGTGGCACGGGATGTGGGCAGTAAACGGGATGAACTCTAACAAATTAGGGAAAACATTGAGCCCGGACTCGTCCACCAGCGGCACTTAGATTGAAACAAGCATTGCCTAGCTGCGGGACGAATTTCTCCCCCATCAAGGATGGAGATCCCGACCCGACTTTTACTGAATACGGCTTGGCCGGATTTTCGGGATTACGCGTGCGCCTGTCAGAATATAGCCGTAGTTGCTCATAGGACGGTAGACCGGCCCCTTGAATTTCGTCAGCTCTGGTATTGAGCCACACTCTGAAATTATTCTTGGCATTTGCAGAGAACGCGAGGCCTTCTCTACCGCTACCAACGTCAACCCTTTGTCCATGACTCCATGCTTTTCCTCCACCGCCACTGGCCGCTGTTCTCCATACTCCATAGCGGTATTTGCTAACCCCTGGGCATACGTCCCCCTTGCCAAAAAGCTTGGTATACTTTATTGAGCCGCGCAACGGCCCCTTGATATGGGGCTTAGCATCTTCGTGATGTGGACAGTCTCCCGTCGGCGGGATAGAGGCCTTCGGGAGTCGACATCTTAGCTGTAAAGGCGTTCCTACAAATTGACATTTAAATGTGCCAAGTATCGGTCTCATCTGCGGATGCTTTTCCATGCCTGTTCATCCCATCTGCTAAAGCCCGACAACATGCGCTCGTTCCAACTACTTTCGTTGGCAGCAGTCGCTGCTCCGGCCCTGGCCGACAGTCATTACTTCTTCTCGGGCTTCTTTTCCGGCAGCACTATTGTCGGTGTCGAATTCGATGACCAAACACAGTCGCTCACTTTGAAGAACAACATTAGCACAGACGCGAGCTCGGGCTCTAAATGGATTCACATCGATGTAAGCATACCTGATTCCTGAAAGTGTGACTACCAGACCTTACACTGGCAATTTGACGATAGTCCCGCCTGAAGAACTTGTATGTCGGTACGACAGGCTACTTTCAGAGCTATGCCATCACAGACGACCTCAGCTTGACGTACAGCAGCAACGTCAGCTTGTCTTCAGACTGTGAGCACCCTGAAAGTAGAATGTCTCGAGATGAGCCTGTTGCTTACGATAAATAGGTAGCAACGCCAACTACATCACCTCTTCCTCCGCCTCCCCCCACACTGTTTTCGGAACTCCCTATGGAGGTGGCTGCTCAAGCCTGGCCATCACCGTCGATGACTCCGGTGTGCTCCAGGAGGCTACCGCGAACGTCACATACGACAGCGCCGGAGGTGTTCACGGAACATGGATGAGCCCCAACAACGACTTCATCTACTCCGCCGATGACATGGGCAACGCCGTCTGGGCTCACTCCTATGACAACAACACTGGAGAGGTTACAGAAGTCCAGTACCTTGCCGCAGCCGAGGGATCCAACCCCAGACACTTGACTGTGCACCCCAATGGCAACTGGGTCTATGTCGTCTATGAGGAGGCCAACTCCATCGCGTCTTACAAGCGCGACACGACTACCGGCAAGCTGACTTTTACCAACACCACCTACTCTCTCTTGCCCTCAGGTATGAATTCAAGTGAAGTTCTTTCTAGAACTAGCAACTGATTATTCGTCAGGTTACACCAACACATCGTCCTACTGGGCCGACGAAGTCATGTTCTCCATCCCCAGCATCAACGCCAGCGCTACTGCGCCCAAGTACCTCATTGCTGCCACCCGCTCCCGCACCGTCGGCGTCCCTGGTTACGTTTCCGCTTTCTCTCTCGACAGCACCACCGGCGCCATCACTGAGCAGCTGTTCCTCACTCCCACCACAAACAGCGGTGGCTCCGCCAACGCCGTCTCCCCCGCTAAGTTCAGCGAGGATTACTTTGCTATTACGGACAGCGGCTCGAACTTCCTGGAAGTATGGAAGATCGACGCTACTGGCTCATCCACGACTGCGGCAGCTGTTGCGCACCTCGCATTGGCATCAGGACCGGCTAATGTTGTTTGGTACAGCTAAGCTAGATGATGGTGTTGGTGACAAACATGTATTTCATGTTGCAGATTTTACTTCTGCATATGTAGCCGTGTGTATTTGAAATGAAAAACGGCAGGACTTAGAGTCTTGTAACCCGGATCAATCTACGCTATGAAAAGTCTTAAGTCTTCATGGAATTCTTCCAATTTGCTGTATCTATTGTCTGTTCTGAATTCCGCGCGATATGGGTATCGCCCTACCGTCAATTCCACCTTACACTACTTATGCCTCTCATGGCAGGCACTGAGAAGATCTCTGAACGCTCTGGTGTCGCCCTCCTTTGTTTCTTCAGAGCGGTTCACAGAACACTCGTAATCTCCAAACTCCATCTCACCAGTCTCACTATTTGAAGTCAACCATGGACTAGGACAGGTTCCTGCGTCGAAGTTGATGTACCGACTCGGATGCAGCACGGTATCGATCCTTGAAGGACGGAGAAAGTGAAGTCCGTAGAACTGCCCATCAAAGCGAAAGTCCATGAGGCAGGGAAGATTGTTTCGGATCTTGTCGAAAGTAGACTCCCACGTGCCATCGAACCTGTAGAGCTCAGCATTGTCATACGAGATGCCGTACGAGCCTTTTGGCAGGCGTTGCCAGTCTTCCGTGTGAATACGCCACTCCTTGGTTTCCTCAGTGTCAACCTGAATGTGAGAAATAATATGACAGCTGTCCAGACGCAAAGTTTCGAGCGATTTCTGTGAGAGAACCCAGTCAAAATGACGATTGTTGCTGATGACGAAGTTTCCCAGGTTCAGCGTCTTTAGGCGAGGGAACTCTAGGCCTGCCCCATCGAAGTATCCCGGCATGGTGCCCCAACACTCGTGGAAGTTCAAGGTCAGAGCGGTGAGATTAGCCGCGAAGTGAGGAAGAAATTGTCGCTGCAGATGGCTCTCGAACTCCAGGCGCTCTTCCATAAATGTGTCGCGGTCTGGGCCGTGTTCATTGTACTCCTCTGTAATCAACAGGTGGTAATGGTCGATGTCCTTGGCGACGTCTTTGAAAAGACCAGAGTTGACGAATTCTTGATGCGGCATGTTTTGGAGGTTTCGAATCGTCAAGGACCGAATTGTGCTGACTTCGGCATTAGACTGAACTGCACGTTCCCGAATGGCCTCGAAAACCGCCTTAAGTGTGTTTAGTCGGGTCTCGCTGGGCTCGACGTCGTCCCACGCGTCATGAAGATTGGACCACCGGCCTTTACATTTCTCGCTAAAGTGCAGCTCGATAGCTCTGATATTTGGCAACTGCTTGATTCGTTTAATGGCTGAAGTGAAGGCATGATACTCTCCATTCTTCCAGTCCTCCCAGTCCCCAAATTGCCTCGATTTCTTGGAGTAGCTCTGAAGGATGACGCGTTGAGCAGCATTTCAGGCGGCTTCGAGATCGAGAGTCTTGTTCCAGCCTTCAAACCCACTCTCGTCGCCGTTGACACTTCCAGTGTGTGCTAGCTCCAGAGTTTGATACAGGTGTTCAGTCGCAATAGAATTCCATCGTCGGCAAACGAGGCGGGCGGGGAGAAGGTGCTTGCGAAGTTCACGAGTCTTCACGGGATCCCTGTGGCCTTTCAGTCGAGATAGTTGCCCGATAATCATATTGAGGATCTCATTAGGTATGTTTTCGAGTTCCATAGGTGTTGCAAAAGTTGAGATTCGTCGAGGTCGGGAGAGTGTCTAGAGAATTGGTTCTTTGGATGGAACTAGGACTCCGTACGCTGGTTTTACCTCTAATTATCGCCTGGCTTGACAAGGGTGCAAAGAAGTAACGCGCTAGGCAGCGGTCCGGCAGCCTAGAGTTGTGGGCCGTACAGGACATGGAACAGCATAAGCACTGGCCGTCTCTTCCAACCTGAGCGGCGCAAAATCCAAGTCAGGTTCAGTAAGCCAGAGCTATGAAGTTCAGGCCTATGGATGAGTGCAGAGGAAATAAATAATAAACTGACGGGAACTTGGGAGAATCTTTGCCGTAGATAGCTTAATGTATATCAAATACAAGGGTGGAGAAACTGATGTTTGAAGTCATTTATTACGAACAGACCACGTCCCACAGAAGACAGGATCGTGACATCGTTGCCCCAAATACCAGATATCTCCTCTTCATCAGCTTTGAAAAGTACTCGCAAACCATTAGAGACAAAGAATGAACAGGTAGCTGCGACTTTTCGTCTGCAAAAGGTGCGCGAGACTGGATTTTCAGCTAAGAGCAAAATGCAGATCAAAAGTGAAAGCGCGCCATACGCATGTCCACGTTTCCGAAACCGAGAATCATACTCGGGGCCATGCCTATCCACACAAATTACTGACCATAAATGAGATGGCATCATGTTGGCCACTACACCATATCGGACTAAGTAATGCTCATAGCCGAACATACCTGTGCTACCTTAAGAGGATCATGCCCAATTGTGGATTGGAGGAGGGCACGGAGATGTTGGGCACTGAGCTGGTCGGCCTCATTGTATTGGATTCAGTTAAAAAGTTGCGGAGTATTGGAATGCGCTGGTTATTTTCTATCATCTAGGTAACAGTGAGGAGACCTCTAGAGTGTGCCTATGACTCTGAAGCATTTGACAAATGGGCGATGTTTGCGATATCTGCTTACACGATTGGCAATTATGCTCAACAGTTCGAGACTGTGACCTGCTAGATTGGACGCTTGCTCCAGAACTTAGTAGTCGGCGATAATAAGGAAGAAAGTTAACAAGATAAGTAAATTGGGAGCGTTTGAATTGGTAGCGGATCTATTGACTGGTTGACCAGGACTCTACGGTGATTCGGCTCCATGAGCTGCTTGACGGAGAACTCCAGACTCCCAGAATATCTAATCGAGTTGGCGTATTCCTCAAGATGACTGTTTTTTAATTATACGCATCCCGCAACTATGGATGTATGTCCCAAAATGCTTGATAACCCATGGACTTTTAATTTTGGGCGACATAACCGGCCGGATGATGACTTATCGGAGCCGATCTACTGATTCTTGAATGAAGTGACCCCGGAGTCACCTATTGGAGCAAGCTCTTAGAAGAAAGCTTATCAGAGACAAGCGGCCTTTTTGAACATGTTTCCGGCAGTCTCGGTGAATCCCTCGGCTCCTATAGTCACCGCCGCCACCGAAACTCTACTGAACAGAGTTTCTGCGAGTTCTCTAATTGGCAATTACCAATTTTGTCGAGTACACCTCACTCTATTGGTAAAAACATAGATCACTATTTCTGTCCGACTCCTTTCCGGCAAGTGTTGCGAGAGGGAGACATTGAGCTTCGTTTTCGCGGGAGGATGAACTTGCTAGAACTATCAGCGCTGCGATGCCCAATCGGACCCAGATATGCTTCACTTACTTCTGGAGTGCCGTTGCTTTTCAGTCATTCGACCTGATGATGATGCTCATCTGAATTCTTCAGTTCGCCAGTCTGCATCCCCGGAAGGCTCCTCTCAAGTGATTACACAAATTCTGCGTTGCCGATCCAGACTGTCACTATTTTAGAGGTTTCTAAACAAGACATGATGACTTATTCCATCCCGATTGACTCTTGTCACTCCCTCAGTCACTGACGTACATCCGTCAACCTACCTCCCCCTAATGGTACGCAGAACTCTAGAGTGGACGTGCACTTACAACCACATCAACCACTCACCGCATGCTTAGCAGTCTTGACATTTGAACAGCTCAAATCTTTTCAACAAAGATTCTTGGCATCATCTTACATACCCTCTCACAGCCGCCAATATATTCATTACATGACTTATTCTTCAGGCCAAAGTACATGTGGTCATCGGGACCGACCATAGCTACGGTAACCTTGTGCAGACAACCATGCATATAGTCGTCATTAGTCTCTATATGCGTCTTCCTGATGCTGCACACGTGTAACGGGGCCGATCTTGGCTGTAGTCTCGAGGTTCATAAAGCATGGCTGCTACAGGTTCGTCGATTGCCCTCAACTTCCAGTAATTGAGTGGTGGTGGTGGTGGTGGTGGTGGTCTGAGTGTCACCCCCACAGGACTAATTAACGGCTAAGACTGCTCGCAATGAGGTAGTTACCCTTTTAGGCATCCACGTCGTAGCACAATGGTGGTAGGCTTCCATGGCACGTCGGGAACCGCTTCTAGTTACCAACTTTCCATCACCACAGCGAATGCCGTTTGCGGTAGCTCCCAGGCCCGACAAATTGGGTTCCTTCGGGAGTTTGCACAAGGAGTTCGAGTCCTCAAATTGACCCGAATGACTACAGTCTGCCTTTTTGGGCAAAACCATCCGTGACAAACTGACTTTCGCGAAATTACGTATAAACTGTCGGTTTTTCCCACGCCGGTTTGGCAATATGGAGTTCGTGCAACCATTCTTCTGGAAGAACCATAGCCACAATGCCTCTCGTAACTTCGTCTAACACGGCTCATCTCATGAGGGAGACGATCTCTCCACGCAAAGCCTATGGTTTCCTACTGTTCACAGGCATACTTGCCGTTTACCTTTCGTACAGGCTGTATCGGAAAGCCCTGCCGAAGCCTATCCCTGGCATCCCGTATAATCCAAAAGCCCTCGGCCGCGTCCTCGGTGACCTGCCCGACCTGGCCAGCGAGGTTTTGAAGACGGGAGACCTGGCCACTTGGCTGCATCGCCAAGCAGACAGGCACGACTCTCCAGTATGCCAGATCTTCCTTCGTCCCATGTCGCCACCTGTGGTGATACTGAACGACTTTCGCGAGATGCAGGATCTCTGCATGCGGCGGAAGGAATTCGATCGCGGTCGGATCATCAAGAACATTTTCAAAGGTCCTACTCCGAACCACCAAATCACTCTGGAACTCGGGGACGAGTGGAAAGCGCACCGACGACTATTGCAGGACCTTATGTCGCCCCCCTTTTTACAAGACGTTGCGGCACCTGCTATCTACTCGAACGTGACGAATCTGATCGACCTTTGGCAACACAAGACGCGCATAGCTGACGGTAGACCGTTCGACGTGTCTAAAGATATCTTCTACGCAGCCTTGGATGCAGTTACAGCCTTTTCGTTCGGCGGCGACTTCCCACACAACGCTACAAAACCAGTAGCAGATCTTATTCGAGGCCTCAATAGTACCCAATTGAAGGAGCTGAGAACTTCCGGAACCATCGACGATCCGATTGAGTTCCCTTCAATAGAGTGCGATGAGGTCCTATCCACCATCCTTGATGTCACTATCGCCATTGAACGATTACATGGCTCGCCCTGGCCCGTCGTCAAGTGGAAGATTATAGAAAAGTTCCCACCGGTCAGCCGGACAATGAGGCTTAAGAACGAGTTCATTGTTGGAGAACTAAATAAGGCGACGTCCAGGCAACTGGAAAACAGCGACAATGACACATGGATGCGGTCGGCTGTGGACCTGATGGTGCAAAGAGAAAAGAAGATAGCTCAAGATGATAAAAGAGTACCAGACTTCCTCTCGCCTACAATGAAAGACGAGGTAAATATACAATCGTGCAGGGTCTCTAAACACAGCGCTAACCTTTAACCTTTATAACTAGTTATTCGGAATCCTTACTGGAGGCCACGATACAACCAGCACGACCGTGCTGTGGGGCCTCAAGTTGCTAGCAGACCACCAGACGATTCAGTCGAGACTTCGCACGTGTATGGAGTCAGGATACAGAGAAGCGTCAAGAGAAGCAAGGACACCTTCAGTAGAGGAAATTATGCAAGTCAAAGTTCCCTATCTTGACGCCACAATGGAAGAGATTCTTCGTTGTGCCGGTACTGCACCATTGGTAGAGCGAGAAGCTCTTTGCGAGACCGCCCTACTCGGGTACCCCATTCCAAAAGGTACTCAAATATTCTGTCTCACACAGGGAGCCAGTCTCCGGAAACCGGCATACGAAATTGACGAGACGAGGCGGAACGAAACGTGCCGAATTGCGGTGAAGAATAGAGGAAGAGTACCAGAATGGGATCCTGCGGATATTGCTGACTTCAAGCCTGAGCGGTGGCTCATTTCTGCAGGCTCATCAGAGAAGAAGCAGGTCAACGGCGCGTTGAAGGCCGCGGGCAGTAGCTCGGAGTTTGACTCTACAGCCGGGCCTCAGATTGCCTTTGGCCAGGGAAGACGGAGTTGTTTCGGGAGGAGGCTTGCATATGTGGAATTGCGAATACTCGTGAGTTTGATTGTGTGGAGTTTTGAGATACTTACGTGTCCGGAAGGACTTGCCGGGTACGAGGGTAAAGACGTTGTCACGCATAAGCCAGTTAAGAACTACGTGCGGTTACGGAATGTGGAAAGGTGAAGTGCAAAGTTATTGTTAAGAGTCTAGCCTACGTAAGTCCACGTTAAGGGGATTTTAGTATATAAAATCTAAACTAAGGAGTAGAGGTTTTTAAAATAGAGGTTCTATAAAGGTTCTATAAAAGAAAAGCGCTTAAATAGGACTTCTATAAAAATAATATAGTAAGCCGTAATAGTATTTAAGCTAAAGTTTAGATTTATTAATCGGGTTTAGTTTATAATATATACCCCCCTATTTCGCTTTTAAAATAAATCTATTACCGGTCCGTTTTTTAATTATAAATACCCCGGGCGGTTAACTATTTTATTTTAATTTATTAATTAGTTATTTATAATCCTTTTTATTAATTTTTATTAAACCCCCCCCTTTATAAAAAGCTTTTTCTTTTTAACCTTTATATAATAATTTATAAATACTTTAATTTATTTATTTCTATACTTCTATTACTTAAATTTTGTTAATCTATTATAAAAATTTAATTTTTAATAAACCCGCCGTCCCTACCGTTATTTTTTATATATATAATCTTTTCTTTATACTCGTATATTTATATATATTTAAAACCCCTTTTTTAACCTAGGAAATAATTAAATAAATATTCTATACGCCGCCGCTACTATATTTTTTATATATTATTACTCCGCGGCTTTTTAGCTTTTTATTTATTATTAACGTTTTAATAATTTATTTTTATTAATTAGCCCGCTACTACCGCCGCGCCCGCTAAGCCCGTTACCTTATTTAATAATAAAAGTAATATAAATAATAAAGAGTTAAAGTTTAGCTCTAATTCCGAGCTATTATCCGTTTACTTTTTTAAAAATAAATTAGATATTTAAATAATATATTAAACCTATATAGTATATCCGTTTTTTATTTACAAGGTCCGCTAACTTTATATCTAGCCAACGTTTAATAAAAAAAATAAAAAAATAAAAAAAAAGAATAAAAAAAAAGGAATATAAACCTAAAAAGGCTCCTATACTAGGCGCCCTATATAAAGTCCCTTACTTCCTTTATATATAAATATTAATTAAAAGTAGCGATACCCTAGCTAGTATTAGTTACTACGACTACCTCTATATACTAAACTACCGTTATTTATTTATTTATAAATTATTAATTCGTTATAAAGTTAAAAGTATTATTTACTACGCTACTTATATTAATAGTAAAGCTAACTACCGCTACGACTTTATATATTTACTATTATTATTCTTTATTTATTCCGTAATTATTAATTTATTATTCTTAGTTTAACGACGCTATTAAAGCTATTTAAATAGAGTTTTTTTAAATAGTTAAAGAGTATTACTAGCTATTGACCTTTATTATAAGTAATCCTATTTTTAAAGCCGTTATATATTCGTTTAATATCCGTTATTTATATATCGTTAACCGTTCTTTTTTTATTATTAATATAAAGACTTTATAAATACTTTTAGTTATTTATATATCGCCGCCGCTATTTAGATTAAAGCTAAAAATAAAAAGGCCCGCGCCCGCTATAATACTTATACTATAACCGCTTCCCCCGTTATTAAAATACTTACCCCCTATATAACTTTTATTAACGTAACTCCCGCTTATATAACCTTTACCGCCGCCCCTATTATTACCTTTATTATTAAAAGTATAGCCTTTTTTATTATAAAAAAGGCCCGCACTATTAATAAATATTATTAAGCCCTTATTTCCCTTTACCCTACTGTAAATACTTTTTTTATGCTTTTTTTTTTTATAACTAATCCGTTTTTAAGCTACGGTTCGTTATTAACCTCCTTTTACCTAGGCTAAAAAGAGTAGCTAGCCCTCGGTTTTTAAACTTTAAGCGGCCCCTTTTTACGTTTATAATATTATTATTAGCTTTATATTACGCCCTATAGGACTAAATAGTCTTTTAACCTATAGGCCTTAACTTAATTACTTTTTTATTTTTTATTTAATATCTATTTTCCTCCCGCTATTATAATTTATATAATTACTACGGGCTTTTAGTACTTTTTAACTCTATTTTAATAACTCGGGTTATTATTAAATTTTTTAACGGGTCTATAGCGTAGTTCGAACTTTTTTAAAACGTCCGTTAAATAGAATAAAAATGGGGTTTTTATATTAGCTTTTAATAGCCTTTTTATTTAACGAAGACTTCCCTTTACTATCCGTAGCCTATATATTTTTATTATATTATAAACACTTTTTTAATTAACTAATAGTCCCCGTCGTTTTTTTTAATTAAAAGGGGCCTTTTATCTATCCGCTATTAGCCCGGTAAAGGGTCGTTCGCTATACGTTATAATATATTAATATAAAAATAGGGGTAAATATTACTAAATACGTTAAGCTATATAACGGTAGGTTTCGTAACCTCGACTATTTTATATTTATAATATAGTTAGTTTAACTTTTCATTAAATTTAGAGGACCTATAATTATTTATATATAGCTATATTTTATTATTAATTTTAAAGCGCTTTATTAACGCTTTTTATTTATTAATTAAGCGCTCTATCTATTTTTATAAAGCGGCTATAGCGGCCTAAGCGAACTTCGTTATTTCTATAAGTTTTTATATTATAAAATCGGTTTTTATTTCCTGTTTATTTACCGCTTTTAATACGCTTTTTTAAATTTTTAAGGGCTCGACGTTATATTTATATTTTATAAAAAAAAGTAAAAGCTTTATTATTAAAGCTATTTAGTTATTAAAGCTTAGTTAAATAGTTAATAACTAGTCCTTTTAATTATTTTAGGTATATATAATTATATATTATAAAATTATTTTAATCTCTTAGTTAAATCGTTTAGTTAACCCGTCGGTTTATAAATAAAAAGCGGTACTTAGGCACTACTCTATCCTATTTTTATATAAAATCGGTACTAGAACTTATTAATTTAATTATTATTATAATTATTTATAATAACTAAAGTATTCTATAGAATTAAAAGTAGTAGTTAATAAAGCGGTCTATATAGGCCTTATTTTTATAAATACTATTAGTTTAAAAATAACGGACTTTATAAAGCGGTTAACTATTACTTATAAAAACTAGGCGCCGCTTTTTAATAATAGAGAGAAGTTAATAATAAAGTCTATTACTAAGTTATTTTTATTTATTCTAGTACTACGAGAAGCTATAAAAGGCTGCGTTTAGTTTACCGCTATATAGTACTCCCTTTATAAATATTATAGTTTTAAATAAACCTCTTTATTATACTAAACTAGCCTAGTTAATAGAACTATTTAAATAAAATAGCCGCGGTAGCGTTTTTATTAAAGTAGTTCGTTACTAAAGATCTATAATAGCGCTAAATTATTTTTGTTTAGAGTATATTATTATTATAATCCGGGTCTTTATATTTAAAGATTTATAGTCTCTCTCGCTAAATTAGTTTTAAAAGTATATTAATATTATATTCTATAATTTATAATTTAAAGCTTAATTTAAGAGGGAGCGCCTTAGCTCCACTCGATATTACTTTATATATTTTAAAGTATTATTTATTTTTTACTTTTATTTCGTTTTATTATTATTAAAGCTCTGCGTTATTTATAAAAATATCGGTCTCGGGTAACTCGGGTATTTTTATAGTTTCGGTTTAATAAACTATACCGGTTACTAACTAAATAAAATTAAAAATTATTTAAATAATCTTTTCCCTCTCTCTTTTATCGTCCTAGCTAGTTAAAGTATTTTATTTACGCTTAAAAAGCGTATTTAAGATAGTTAATAAACGGCCTAAATAATACTCGATTTTAAAATAGTATTATAAAAGTTATTCTATTTAATAGCTCTAACGCTTAGTTAACTTTTACTTTTATATAAAATACTTTAACCCTTTATAGTCCGTAATAACTTTAAATCCGTAAAAGCTTTATAACTTTATATCTTATACGCTTAAATAGGATATTATAACGAAAAGCTTTTTATTATAAATTAAATAATTATATTAAACGGGCGTAAGCTTTTATAAATAAAAAGCGACTAGTTAATATACGCCCAATAGATCCTTTTATATAAAGGAGCCTCTAAGCGTAAATCTAAAATAATCGGTCTTAACGACTATTATTAAATTAAAATTAAAACTTTAAAATAGGGGTACGAATATAAAACGCTCTTTAAGCGTTTTAAAAGCGGCGTTTTATTTAGCTATTTATTTAAATAGTACCCCTTTTTTAATTAGGGCGTTAAAAAGTTCGATAATAGCGGAGTAGTTATATATAAATACGTAATAATAGTTAATAAAACCGAGGAAGCTTCTAACCCCTTTTACTATTTTAAGCGCAAACTACTCGTAAATAATATATACTTTTTTTAAATTATATATAATCCTTTATCCTGCTTTAAAAATAAATCTAATATACTTTATAATTTAAATAGAGAACTCGTTTTTAACTAAGTTAAAATTAAAGCCCGCTATTATAAAAGTATATAATATCCGCTATACTTTTTTTTTATAATCCGCTTTTAATCCGTTTAAATATATTAATATATCGTCTATATATATAAAAGCGAAGTTATTAAAGAATTCTTTTAAAGTCTAGTTTATATACTTTTAAAATATAGTGGGCGCCCCGGTTAAGCTAAATAAATAAATTATTTATTTAAAAAAGCTATATTATATTTAAAAAGCGGTCTTTTTTTAATACCCTTCGGCTATTTTAATTTTATAAAAAGCCGCTACGACGTCTAGCTTTATAAACTATTTTATTAAACTAACTTTTTAAAAAGTTTTATTAATTAATAATAAAGGGTAGCGGTCTTTTTATATAATTACGTTTAACGCTTTATAATTATAATAAAAGCGTAGGCCGCCCCTTAGTTTTTTAATAAAAAGAACGGGGGCTTTAGTAAAGGAGCTATTAACTTAAATAAAGCCCTTATTAAATAAGTTTTTAAAAATATTATATAGTACTAATAGCTCTTTATAAAATATAAAATAGAGGGGGCCCTAGGGGAAGGGCGCTTTTTATTTATTAAACTATTACTCGAAGTTAA